CCCCCCCCCCCCCCCCCCCCCCGCAGCAGCCTACCTCCTTCTCTCTCTCTCCTTCTCTGTCCCTCTAACTGGCTCCCTAACCTGGGCTGCTGGGGAGTGAGGTGGGGCAAAGGGGAACCAGAGGCTAATCTAAGATGGTAGGGGCTTTTAACCAGTTTCCAAAATCCGAGATGAAGAAGGTACTGCTAACATCCCTACTTCCGACCTTAGCCCCCAAACCCTAGCTGGCAATTCCTATCTAGTTCTGAGGGGCTATTTTCCTTTTGGCTGTTGTGGTTCCGTTTCTCCAGTCCTAATTTCTGATCAGCCCCTCCTCTCCACCCTACCAACAAATAAATAAATAAAACCCTACAACACCACCCCCCGCACTCCCCCCCTCCCCACACGCAGGGTTGGAGTCAGTCTGTAGCAGGGTTGAGGAATCAGCCCCCCTCACCTGGTGTTATCACTGGGGAGGAAGCCCCACCGCCTGATGGACAGAGGGCTGTTGTGTCCGTATCCGTGTCCATATCTGTGTCCGTGTCCGCGTGCATCTCTGTGCGTGTGCAGCAGTATTGGCTCTCTGAAATCTTTCTCTCACTCAGCAGCTCTGTCAGCTTTTCCCTTTAAATATCACCCCCCTCCCCCAAAGACACGCACTCTCCACTCCCCCTAGACACCTGGGGGAATAGACCCGCCTCCTGCTGAAGTCACATATGCTAATTAGCAGTGATGTCATCGGGATTCCCTCCTTTCAGATTCCCCACCCCACCCCTTTTTTTTCTCTTTCTTTGTGCTGCTTTCCTCTGGAATCCCCCAGCCACACACATATATCTACACACCCATCCTACTATCTGGACCTGAACGTGACAAAGACAAAGTAAGAGGACTGATACACAGACAGAGAAATAAAACAGTTATTGAGAATGATTTGGACAGAAAGACATGTGGACAGAAACAACTGATAAAGACTGAAGGATATAGAGAAGAAGGGATAGAGAGATGTACAAGCAAATAAAGGAAAGACTTTCTTATTTCTATGCTTCAGTTCCCCAGGTAAAAACTACTTTGGGAATTCAAAGGGCTTGTACAGTTGGGAGGAAGGGTACTGGAGTAGCACCTTTGAGCTGGGCTTTGAAGTCTGTGAACAGAGCTGGAGAAAAGGACATTTCAGGTGGAGGAAACAACATGAGCAAAGGCATGAAGGCAGGAAAGTACAAGATTTATTTGTGAAATAGCTTAGTTTCTTTTAATTGGAGTATGAAGTGCATATGAAAGAGTAAATGAGAGTCATACTGAAAAGATAAGGTTGAAAAAGCTTGCAGAACCTTGAATGCTAACATAAATAGTTTGGACTTTATTTGGTAGGTAATTAAAAGTTTTTTTAAAAGGGAGCCATTCAAAGTTTCTGAGCAACAGAATAACATAATTTGGTCTTGTAGGGTTGGGGGAGGGGCAGGGTTAATTCATGCTATTTAAAGGCCCTTTTAATCTCTTTTATTGCAGTTTGACATTCTTTGTATTTGTTGAGTTGTTTTGGTACACATCCTATTTTCCCTATCAGACTGTAAACTCCATTAAAACAAGCACTGTGCCTTATTTGGCAAATCCCTTTCTCCATCTGGGGACTCAGTTTCCTTATCTGCAAAATGAAGGGGTTGAACTAGATAATCTCTATACTTTCCTTCCCACTCCTAATCTCCCCATTCTTTTTGTTCCCTACAGAGTTTTGACCATATGTGATCAGTGAATGTTTGGTGAATGAGTGAATGAATGAAAGACAGACCAGAAGAAGGTCGTGACACTTGGTACCAGAAAGAAGGGGCATATTATTAACCTAGGGAGAAGCAGGACCCAATGTAAAGAGCAGGGGCTCTCTAGTTCTGTTTTTGACCACTTAATTTTGCTCTCCAAATTGGTGCACCGTGAGACCACCTTCTGTATGAGATCATGGTGACTTCAGTGACAACATCCTGCTTTAGGAAAAGGGAAATGTGAGTTCCTAGAGGTAGCAGGCACCCAAAAAGGTGGAGGGGACGTGGACCCAGAGGTAATATAGTTGTTCCCCCTTTGTTTCTGTTTTGAAGAGGACCAATGACATCATGGGGAGATATTTTGACTTGCTTATGAATTGGATTTAAGTGAGGCAGAGTTGAACAAAGTCATCAGCCCTACTCTCTCTTCCTGAGGCATCAAAGTCCAGTGGCAAGACAAAAGTCAAGATGACTGGGGTGGCCTGGGATGCAGTGGATGACCTTGGCATCTTCGATGTCTGACCCAGTTCTAAGTACTCCACAGCACCTGCTTCAGTTGCCTTCATAGCTGTTGGAACAAATTGTTCTGATCTGCCCATTCTATCAGGGGAAGTCTTCATGTGCTTGAGGTAGACATCCCCCAACTCATTGACAGGTTTGAGGCCTGTTGGTTACCCCCCACCTGGTTTAGCCCATCTGCCAAGATGGTTTTACTGGGATGTGGCAGCTTTTCATGCTACAGTTTCTTGAAGCCACAGGTGAAAGTTAAGATGGTATGTCCAGTGGGAAGGAGGATGTTCATGGGAAGGAGAGGGAATAGAATTGTATCTCATTATTTAGGACATAGGGTGATTTTTACCATGGTCCATTTCTTCTATCCAAATTACTTCCCTTATGAATTGATATGTAATAATTTTAGAGAAGTCTTTGAAGGTTTCAAATCTATGAGCTGATGAAGAATGAAATGAGAAGAACCAGGGAAACCATTTATATCCAATAACAACATTTTAAAGACACAGATGGCGTAGCTAGGTGGCGAAGTGGATAGAGCTCCCGCCTTGGAGCCAGGAGGACCTGAGTTCAAATCTGGCCTCAGACACTTGACACTTACTAGCTGTGTGACTCTGAGCAACTCACTTAACCCTGATTGCCTCACCAAAAAGAAAAAAAAAAAATACACAGACCTAAGACCTCTGACCAATTCAATGAGCAAGCATGATTCCAGAGGACCAGTCAGTCAGTCAATAAACACTTAGTAAGCACCTACTATGTGCTAAGTAAGTACTGGGGGGATATGAAAAGAGGCAAAAGACAGGCCCTGCCTTTGAGGGATTCACAGTCTAAGAGGAAACATGATATATCCATGTCTTAATAGAAAGGGGTTGGACTTAAGATGCAGGCTGGGATATACATACATTTTTTTGGACACAACCAGTTTGGGAATTTGTTTTGCTTGACTATACTTATTTGTTATAGAGAGGTGGGAAGGAGAGAAAATAAATTCTTGTTTGTTGAAAAAATTAATTTTTAAAAAAAGAGTGAGGTACAACAGATAAAAGGGAGGGTAGGGCAAGGTTTACAAGGGTTAAGTAACATAGAAAGTCTCTTTCTGGGCTCTGAGCTGGCAAAAACCATTGGTAGATCCTTTCTCATCTCCCCTTCTTTTCCTTTCACCATTCACCTTCTTTCCAAAGTGATGGTGGAACAATGGCTCTCCCTTCCCAGACTCTGACCTCCATTTTCTCAAATCCTAGAGAGAAGTATCAAGGACTACCAACACTTCTCCCCCTGCAGAATCTAAGGAAGCCCCATCAGTAGCCCTCTAGATTTAAGAAAGGTTGGATTAGGTGGGCCCCAGCTGGCTGCACGGATTTGTCTCTCTTACTTCTACTTTACTGGTCAGCCCTCCTATTAAATCTTTGTCCCCCTCTCCCATTGCCCCAATTTCACCTGGTGTTTTTATGTTCTGTAGGGCACATGGAGGTTTCACAGAAAGAAGGGACAAATGGAAATCTCAGGAGCAAATTCAGCGTCACCTAATTTAGTAGCAATATCTGAAATGTATGTAGCATTTTGAGAAGTACACATTACCTCCTTAGATCCTTATAACAACCTTGTGAGGTAGTTACTACAGTAAGTGTCAAGTGTCTGAGGTCAGATTTGAACTCAAGTCCTCCAGGCTCTAAAGCCGAAGTTCTATCCGCTGCGCCACCTAGTTGTGCCATCCGTGTTATCCCTTGGAGGTCGGAAGGAGCCATATAAGGACACTCTCAAGGTCTTTCTGAAGAACTTTGAGATTAATAGTGAAACAAGGGAAACACTGGCACAGGACTGCCCAGCGTGGTGTGCCTGCATCAAAGAGCTGTGCTCTATGAGCAAGGCAGGATTGCAGCAGCTCAAAAGAAATGAGAGATGAGCAAATTTAGAGACATCTCCACTCCAGATGTTCACATGGACTATTTGTACCCAACCTGTGTTAGAGCCTTCCAAGCTCACATGGGTCTGAACAGCCACAGTTGGACCCCAACATGGTGATGTTATTTTAGTCCTCTATGAGAACAAAGGACAACAACCAACTGTTCCTATTTTACAGATGTGGAAACTGAATCAGAAAAGTTAGGTAACTTGCCTGTTGTCATACAGCTAGTGAGTTTTGGAGGTGGGATTTGGCCACCAGTTCTTTCCTCAAAGTCCAAGACTCTTTCCATTATACAACACTGGTCACTTAGAGAGGTCACTTATTGAATAGCCTCAGCTATCAGGAACACACCTGAGAGCCCAAAAGGAGGCAAAAAAAGACCCGTGACTGAACAAAAAGATATGGCACAAAGCCCATACGCTAAAACTCCAGGCAGAGCCCTTTCAGAACCTCACTGAAAGCCTCACTCAGAACTGCACCTATAGCAGTGCAGATAGACAGGCCTCCACAGTTTAGAAGCAGCAATCTGGGAGCAGGGGAATGGCTTTCGAGTTAGTATTATCAGGAAATAATGTCTGCTAGCCAGAAGGTGGAGGGAAGAGATAGAAAAACTACAAAAACCAGACACAACTCAAAAGCATAGTAGTATGGGATCAATAGGTGTAGGGACAGAAACCCTACACACACACACACACACACACATACACACACACACACACACACGCACGCGCGCGCACACACACACACACACACACTTATATATATATAAAACGATAGACCAATCCTGGTCCAAAGGGCCTGGAAATGTGCTCTTCCCCTTAAGGAATCCCAGCTCTGGATTCACATTCTAATTAATATAACTTGACATTACAGTTGACTGTAATCTCTTCTATAACAGGCACTGTTCAGATCGAAGCATACTATTTTCACTTTATTTTTTTTCATGGTTTTTTTTTCCTTTTGGTCTGTTTGTTCTCTCACAGCATGACTAATATGAAAATGTTTACATGATTGCATATAGATAATCTATATATGGGGGAGGGGAGGGGGAAAATGTGGAACTCAAAATTTAAAAAAAAGAATGTTAAAAATTGTCTTTATGTGAAATTGGAAAAATAAAATACTATTAGGAAAAGAAGAAGAAAACAGGCACTGTTTGTCTTTTGGTCTTTGGATCCTTAGCCCTACCACAGTGAAAGCCTTCAGACATAGCAGCTGCTTAATGAACCCTTGTTGGGTTGGATTACACGGGAGCCAGGATTTCAGCCCAAGTCTTCTGACTCCAAGACCTCTGAGTGCTCTTTCCACTGTGTAGTATGTACATAGAACATACAATGATTCATGTTCATAATGATGACCCTGAGTCACGAAGAAAAAAGTTAAATCATGTTGAAGGCCACGAACATGTACGATCTACTTTAGAATGATTCCCATAAAATTAAAAATAGCAAAGGTGTTTTAAAAATTATGGTGCTTAATACAGGTGATTGGGGCAGCTAGATGGTGCAGTGGATAGAACACCGGACCTGACATCAGGAGGACCTGAGTTCAAATCTGGCCTCAGACCAAACACTTGACACTTACTAGCTGTGTGACCCTGGGCAAGTCACTTAACCCTAATTGCTTAAAAAAAAAAAAAACAGGTGATCAGCAGTTATCAAAAAAAAAAAAAAAGATTCAGTCACATGGAACTACTCGTTTCCGACTAAACCTGAATAAATGAGGTATAAGTTCTCTACACAGTAACAGACACACCAGACTGTGTGAGTGTTGTTTGCTGATGTCTGAAATAGCTCTAGAGACTGACTCCATTCTTTTTGTCTTCAAAGACTTTGCTGATCATTTAAAATGTCCATATCTCTAGGAGTCAGTGTGACTTGCTGCTCTGTTATCAGTCATTTATACCATAGCGTGAAAGAAGGGAGGATATTTCTTGAGGAGATTTAGAGAGAAAATAGTGATAGGGCCTTCCTTGTGAGTAAGGGAGTCTGGGGCAGTAGAGATAAACATTTGCCTACTTTTTAATCTTGCCCAGAGCTGGCAATGTTTAGAGAGTCAGGCCCGGGCACACACATACAAAACAGTTCTTTGCAAGAATTTTTATAGCGTAAAAACGCCAGCCAGAGCCATAACTAGACATTCTGGCATAGGCAGGGAATTCAATTAGGTGGCAGGAAGAGACAGAAACCTGAAGGCTGTTGCTGGGTAGGCCTGCCGTCACCACTGATGCTGGGCTGCCCATGTTCAGATTTGTGTGGATCCCCAGACTTGGTAGTCCAACGCAGACAGTTTGTCCTGAAAGGTTCATTTTTGCCTTTTGGGGAATGGGGGAAGGTGTTCCCTGAGGACTCTGGGGGGTTAGTGGTTCAGGGGCATGTGAGGGATGGGAGGATTCTCATAGAGAAGAGCATGCCCCCTTCTCATGTTGGAGCTCTGGTGCAAAGCTCAGGCAGCCCCTTACTAGTTATGGCTAATTACTAGTTACTCTAGCTAGTTTTCTCTCATCTTGGGTAGGACAGAACCATTAAGTGAAACTGGCTAAAACTTATCCTCAGCCTCCTGAGAGAGACTTGAAGAAAAGGAAATCACTTTCAGCTCTATGCTGAGTCATATGGGAGCCAGCCTACATGGAGAGCTTTAGGTGAATCCCCATTCCCCTCCTTTGGCTTCCTTAGAACGTCCTCTGGCTCCTGCTGATTAAGGAGAGGAGAGAACATTATGCAATTAGCTTTGGGTGGAAAGATGTTCACAGTGTGTAATCAATATCTGTCTCCCTGCCAGAATAGAGACGGGCTGAGGCGGGGTAAATCATGGAAGGGAAAACAGGACTCAGGAGAGAGAAAGGTTCTCTCTAGGGTTCCTTCCTCTGCGGAGCATCCTACTATTCTCTCCCCCTACTTACAGTGTCTCTTCTCAGTAGAGTGACACCTCAGTGATTTTTTTCTATTTAGGCCTTCAACTACCACATGAGATCTAGGTTCCAATCCTAGTTCTTTCACTAATTAGTTATGACCTTGGGTTAATGACTTGCAGTCTTTGGACCTGTTTCCTCATCTCTCAGTTTAGAGTAGAGCTCTCAGATCCTTTTCACCTCTGGCATTCCCAATCACTCCACCTTCCCTCTTAAACCCAGCATGTCCACATCAATTATCTTCCACACTGGACGCCAATGCTGTGGGCTCTAAAATGCTTCATCAGCTGTGACCATCTCATCTTTGGTTAGCTACTTCTCTCTATTCTCTTTTGGGATGGCCTGTCTCTTTGATCATTCTTTCCTGGCTTGCCTTTATACCCCCAGACCATCACTCTACCTAGACTAACCTCTTGGGGACACCTCTTCCAGGAAGGCTTCCCAAACTAGGCCAAAATGACATCAGCATTTCCCACATTTTTCTCACTATTCTTCCACTAGAGATGACTCTAAGTTCTAAGGGGCTATATTGGCAGAGTCCAAGCTACTTGCAGGAATTACCATGCTGGGGTCTTTGTCTTTGAGAGAATTACTACAGAGATTGGACATTTCAACAGGTAAAGGGGAAAAGTAGCAGGACAAAGGTGGGATGTGGGAAAAGGAATGAATGATGAAACAGAACTTTAAGTTTGGGTCTGACAATGGATTACATCTGTGTTTCAGGTATCAGTTCTACCTTAATGTAAAGGTTAGCTCCAGTCATTTAATTATTTTTTTTTTGTTAACAGGAACACATGAAATCATTTACCCAGTCATAATTGTGACCTGGCTTCAGTAGAGGGAATAGCTACATTGAGGAAATCATGGATCTTTTATTTATTTTTTATTTTTAGGCAATTGGGGTTTAAGTGACTTGCCCAAGGTCACAGAGTTAGTAAATGTCAAGTGTTTGGTCTGAGGCCAAATTTGAACTTAGGTCTTCCTGACTCCAGGGCTGGTGCTCTATCCACTGTACCACCTAGCTGCCCCCAATCATGGGTCTTTTAAAGCAGGTATTCTTCACCTGGGGTCTGTAAACATTTTTTTCTTTTTAAAATATTTTGATAGCTGCATCTTACTATAATTGGTTTCTTTTGTAATCCTAGTTTATTAATTTAAAAAGTTTATTTTAAGAAAAGGTCCATAGGCTTTACCAGGCTGCCAAAGAGGTCTCTATGACACAAAAAAGGTTAAGAATCACTGTTGTACATGATTGTACATATATAACCTTTATCAGTTTGCTTGCTGTCTTGGGAAGGGGTAGGAGGGAAGGGAGGGAGGGAGAAAATTTTGGAACTCAAAATTTTACAAAAATGAATGTTGAAAACTATTTTTACATGTAACTACAAAAAAATAAAATACTAATATGGAAAAAAGAATCACTGTTGTAAAGTGTCTTAATATTCAATATTGTATTCTTTGAGCTATTTTGATTAGGGAAAGCTCATCTGTCTTGTCTAAAAAAAGACTAAGTTCTCTGAGGTCAGGAATTATGTCTTCACTGCATCTATATTCTTTGCTCCATAATATCTTGTCCTGTGAGTCATACATACCTTTTGATAACTTAAATGGATATTGGAAGACCAAAAGAGTAAAGACTCTTTGTGGGGTTCCCCTTGTCTGTGAAGGGACAACGATGTGCACTGCTACCCAGTAGGGTGGATATCAAGAACTGTACCTCTGTTTGGGGTAGCTCTGAGCATATCTGTGTAATCTGGCACAGTTCGGGGGAAAAACCATAGGCTAACAGGATTGGACACGTCCCTTTAGCTTCAGTCTCCTCTCTGGCTAGATTCTTCTCTCCCTCTACACAGGCTGACAGGAGGATGGGTCAGACAGGATGTAACAACTCTCTGGGCTTGCCCCCTGGAGAAGGAACTAAAGGTGGAAGACAGGACACAATTATTCTGCAAAAATTTATTTTTAGTTATTTTATTTATTATTTTCACTTCTTGGTGAAGAAGAACCAGGCAGGTCCCTTAGACAGTAGAGCTCTAAATCCTATCCAAACCCTTTCCCTTGGGGGCTGCAGACATCTGCAGATTGATGTTTCTCCTTGTTCCAAGTATTCTGGTTAGGGTAGGAAGGAATTAGCAAGGGAGGAGTGTCCTGCCACCTGACCCTTCAAGAGCTCACTCACTTATTTCTGAATAGCCTCAGACTCTGGGGGTAGGCCAGGGAGCACTACCTATCTTTGGCCTTTAGGTAAGAACTCTGTGTAGGCCTCTTATTCAGGATACAGCAGGCACTGCCCTGATAGTGGCAGGGTGAGGGAACAGGGTCAGGGGTCCCACTAGCCCTGAGACACTCAACTTTACAGTAGCTACAACAAGGCTATGGGCAAGGTGTGAGAAGTAGGGTATCATTTGGCATCTCCTCAGGCCTGGTGCAGGGATGATCTCCCCAGGCATTCAGCGAAGATAAGGCTGCACAGACCTTGGATTGCCTGGGCAAAGGGGCTGTTGCCATGGGGACTTAAGTCAGCAGTGGCTCATCCTCCTCACCTACCCATGGCCCAGGCTCTGCCAGGGGCAGCAGTAGCACATCATCCTCATCCTCTTGGGATGGGGGCACTGTTCGAGGGTCCGGTGTGGCCTGGGGGGGTGTAGGGGACCGAAGGCTGGGCATGAAGCGACCACGCAGAGCCTGCACCACCCCAGACAACAGGGATGATGGGGGTGGAGGTGGGGTGGTAGGAGGAGGTGGGTCTTCAGGGGGTACACGGGGGGAGTTGGTAGAAGAAAGGGGCACCTTGACAGGCAATGGAGGGGCCTCCTCTGGATCTCGCCCACCCATTGCTCCTTCTAAAGGGGTGCCCTGACTGCCCTCTGGGGCATCAGAGGTAGATGGGGCAGACGTAGACTGTAGGTTGGCATCCAGGGCCCTGGAAGGGGGATTTGCACGGGGAAGCAATCCCCAACGACGGAGACGGCGAACCAATCGTCGTGCGGATCTGCCTCGTTGGCGGCGGCGGGTACCCGAGGAGCCCCCTGAAGACACGTCCTGGCGCAGGATTTGTAGCAGAGATCGAAGGTTCCCCAGCACTGAGTTCTATAATTTGAGAGATAAGGAAGCATGCGAATGGAGAAAGACAAAGAGCAGAATTACTTTCTGTCCTGTCCAGAGCAGGACAGACAGAAGGGAGAGGAACCTATCGGGGCTATGTGGTTAGCAGGGAAAAGGCACTGCTGAGCTTTGGCTTGGTTGAGATGCCTTAATCAGGTTCATAAATCAGTGAGAAGGGAGCTCAGAGATCATCTGTTTTAATCTTCTCACTTCACAGATGGAGAAATTGCAACACCAAGAGGTGATTTGCCCAAGTCCACACAGGTAGTAAGTAATAGAATCCAGCTTCTAATCTAGTTTTCACATTCCAGATGGAAGTTTTTTTCCACCACACAGGGCCATCATGAACAGGCAAGGCTTAGGAGAGTAACTTACGTCATTGGGGTTCTCAGTCGGAAAGTCATCTACAGGTGGGATGGCACCTTGAGCAATAAGCTGGCCGTAGGATGGAGGTGCTTGCTGCTGTACAATCTCGGCCTCCACTCTTGAAAGGGGCGCAAAGATGCTGTAAGGAAGAACAAGATTTATGGTTCAATCCCCCAGCGACTCTACTAAGTCAGGACCCTACCTATGGCTCCTTCTGGAACAGCAAGACAAAAGGATTTTGTTCCCCAAACTGGTCACCCCTCCTTGTCCTGTGTCTTTTCCTATCCCCAACCATCTTCACTTCCCCCTACCCTGAATGACCAGTCCTCCCCACCCCTACTGCCGCAGTGCATCCTGTGCTGACCGTCTGACCTGTATTCCTGTGTGCGGATGGCATAGAGTTTACAGGTACAGCCCAGGGCAATGACAAGCAGCAGGCCGCAGATCAAGCTGCCAATGACGGCGGCCGTGATGACTTTTCGGGGCAGGGCATAGGCGCAGTCCCATTCATCGCTGCCATCAGAGCAGTCAGGCTGCCCATCACATACCCAGGTTTCATACACACACCGATCATCCTTGCACCGGAAGTTGCCCGGCTGGCAGTGCCGGCACTGCTGTTCGTCTGCCCCGTTCACACAGAATGTCTGGTAGTTGCAGCGATCGGCAGCTGGGTAGCAGGCTGTGGCGCCGGGGGTTCCAGGAGCCCCACAGGGATAGCGCCCAGGCAGGCATCCGGGGCAGTCCTTTTCATCCGTGCCATCTGCACAGTCCCAGATCCCGTCACACCGCTGAGCTTCACTATAGCAGCCCTCCCCAGGACCTTCTCCAGAGCCAGCACCACAAGGCCGGTCCCAGGGCAGGCAGTATCCTTTCACATGGTAGGTGGCATTGAACCCGCCAGTACTCCAAGGCCCCAGGTGGTAGGTCACAGTGGCCTTGCCCGAGAGCGTCTCCACCATGATTGCTTTGCCATTGCTGAAATAGTTGAGGTTTCGGAGCAGGCGAGCAGGGTCTGGGGGCCCAGGACCATCATATACATGCACTGAATCCCATTTGCCTAGCTCTAGAGTGGTGAAGTGAACAATCAGCCGTCGCCCATCATGGGGATTCAGAAGCCAGAGGCAAGAGTGAGGGGTTGGGTACAGTACAGAGTGGGGATAGCCTGGGGAAGAAAAGACACCGTAGAAATCTTCCAAGGTACGGTTGCAGGTAGGGGCAGGGACAGCAGTCAAGCTGTGGAAAGGGCTTGGGCTACAGCCAGTCTCATCAGATTGATCCCCACAGTCATCTACCCCATCACAGCGCTGGGCCTTTGGCACGCATCTGTGGTTCGGGCATCGGAACTCCTCCCGGAGACACGTGAACCGATCTGTGAAGGGGGCCAGAGACAGTGAGGTACTGGCTGCTGCTGGACAAGCCCACTACTCATTCAACTGACCCTCCCCACTACAGCCCTGCAACAATCTACCACAGTTCTCATCCTTGGGGCCTATGGAATCTTCCTCTTTCTTTTATTATGGGGTTCCCCACATCTAGCCCACCTTGCATATAAGAAAGCAGAAAGCCTTGTCCCAGTGGCCGGCCATTCCCGGTATAGCTGTAGGTGATGGTGACGTTGCCCCCAGAGAATCGGAGTGGGCTGGAAGGTGCTTCACACAGGGAAATAAATGGCTGGAGAGGGGACTTCAGCATCAGACGCTCTGAGCCACATGCCAGATGCAGCTTCTGGAACCTAAAAGAACCAGAAGTCACACTAAGAGTCCATTCCCCCAACCCTACCCCCATCAACTCCCTCACCTGGACAGTGAGACAGAAACAAGGGCCACTCAGGAGAGTACAGGACTTTTAGAATTATATTTGTGTGGTGATTTATAGTTCACAGAGTACTTTACCATGAGCATTTTATTTGATCCTCACAACAACCCCAAGAGGTAGTTAGTGTTAGTGTAGTCATCCATGTTTTACAGGTGGGAGCAAGGGGGACTGAAGAGTTTTAAGTGACTTGCTCCAGGTCACGCATCCAATAGGCAGTAGAGCTACCTTCTAACTCTTAAGTCTGCTACTGTTTCCACTGGCATTCACTTTTAGGGGTGAATGGAATGAAACACGTGCCTATGTCTTGGCAAAAAAGATGGCAGACAAGAGGTGTGGAATGAGACACATTTTCAGACCTTGCCAATATGTTTCTTTGTTTTGCTCTACTGTATTTCTTTGTTACAAGGGAGCGTGGTTTTTTGTTTTTTCTTTTTTTGGTGAGGGGGTGGGAGTGGGGCAAAGAGAAGTTCAAATGATGTTAAAAATAAAAAATGGAAGAATAAGGCATCAACAAAACTTTTTTAAAGTCTTGTACAGCTGAGAACATTGATTGGCTTGGACTATGGGTTGTTACAAATCCACTTTTTTACTTCAGGATCCCAAGTACAGCAAGCATCTATTTATCTAGAACTCAGTAACAACCAGAATTTTTTTCTAGTCTCATACAAGAATAACCAATGGGCATTACTATAACCCTCAGGCTGAAGGAGATTTTGGATGTCCTTCTGAGTCATCTTACACAGACGTGATTCTTTTCAATTCGATCCCCCCAAAATGGATTAAGTGCCTATTATGTGCAAGGGACTATCTCAGGTACTGGAGAGGCATGGATGAAAAATTATATAATCCCTGCCCTCAAGGAGTTTACAATAATACGAAGCAAAGTGTCAAAAGGGCAAAGGACGAATCTGCTATTGCATTTTCTTCAAACACTGGTATTAGCTCACATTTCCATGGTTCATTCAGGGCTTTTCTCCCAATAACCCTGTGATAGTATGGAACTCTCCACTTTATAGATGTGGCACCATAAGGTCAGAGGGGTAAAGTGTTTTTATCCATAGACGTATAGCTAGGAAGCATCTAAGCATGGCATTGATGATACATCAGTTTACCCTGGTTAGTCAATTAACCATAATACCCCATTCCCTTGATTATGGAGTTAAGCAGAGCCAAAAGCGTATGCAAACTAGGCAAGGTACAACATCAAGGGGGTATGATGAGAGAAACTTTATAATGTTACTTTATTATAAATAAAAATTATTCCCTTTTTCCCTCAAATTTTTTATTGAGACATCCTTTGTTTTCACGTCATGGTCTATTTCAAATATATTCCTCCTGACCTTTTCTACCCTTTTAAAAAGGAATAAAAAAGAAAGAGAAAAAAAAATCATTTTTTCAAAACTAACCAATGCATTAATTAAGTGTAACAGTGGTCAGGTTTCAATACCCATAATTTTCCACCTCTGCAATAAATAGAAGTGAAATGCACATATTTTTAATGCCAGAACATTGTGTTTTCAATGACATAGAGGTATTTTTTTTTTGTGATAAGTCAAGGGATATGTGTTATAGCAAAAGTTTAGGGCCTACAGTAAACAGTAAATACAAAGGGTGAACAATTTTCAAAAGGTGGGAGGGGTGGAGTGTCCTGGTATGATGTTAATACTTTGTCTAGGGCTTGCTTGTTGAATGCAGTATATTTGACCCATCTTCCACAGGATTTCCCTGACATATTTTGCCTCCTCTTGTCTAGAATACCCTATGCCCCTTCTCTGGGCTCCCAATTACCAGAAATATCCAAGCTTCCAACTAAAACAAAAAAACCAGACAGACTTCCACTACCTGTTATTCAGAACACTAGGCATCCTTATTTTTACCATCCTCCCTAGCCTCTTCCTTCTTTTCCCTATTGACCTTCCCCTACTCCAGGTTTTGCTACATCTAGTAGGCCTAGAAAAATACTAGTTGACCCTGGACAGAGAAGTGATGGATTCAAGATGCAGAATGAGATTTCTGAACCTGATCAGTTTGGAGATTTTTTCTGCTGGACTATGCATATTTGTTACAAGAAGTTTGTTTTTCTATTCTCTCTCTCTCTCTCTTTTTTCAATGATGGGGTGGGGCCAAAGTAAGAGGGAGAGAAAAAAAATGTTGATTAATTTTTTAAAATGTAAAGAACTGCTGATTGGACCCTCTTGAACAGCCCTGGAGTAAGGGTCTATCCATTGCTGCTACCACAAATGTTTATGGTACCCAGGACTAGAGAGGATAGAAGGAAGAGAAGATTGAGGGAATGTAGTTGGGGGTGGGGACAGGGATTCCAAAGAGTTCAAGGATAGGGTTGGGCATATGACTAGCATAGTACAAAGTCATTTGCCTAATATCAACCCTGCCCAGACCTTAAAATGGACTGGCCTTCAAGGTATTGGAAGTCAGACCAACATCGAATAATCTCACCCATGCCACTGGGCACAGGAGTGGAGAAGCTATGACAATGTCCAACCTCTCCACCCCGACTCTCAAGACGATTTCTCATTGGCTACTTCCAGAGGAATCTGGCTCTAGTTCTTACCTGATGGTCACCGTCTGCTCCTTGCTGCCCACGATGACCCAGATGCAAGTGATAGGAAGGAGGCGGCTTTCCCGGCCTTGGGGCCACTGCAGGATTCCCTGGACACCGGAGAGCACAGCAGGAGGGTCCCTGCAGGCTGCAAGGAGGAAGGTGTGGGGGCTGAGCCCCTGGGAACTCTCCTCTCCTTGCCTTCCAACTGGGCCTAGAATCTTTGGGAGCCTACATCCCTTCTTGATCTGGACTCCTTAAGTAGAGCTGCTAGGCTGAGACCAGACACAGGAGGGTGATCCTAGATCCCGAGAAGCCTCCATACCCAGGCTGACAAGTCTCCCTTCTCCTCCCACCCATCCCTTCTCAGCCCTCACTCCAAATAACATTATGCTCCATAAATATTTCCGAAACACCTCCTTGGCACAAGGCCTGGAGCTACCTGGTGGGGGTTACAAAGATGAATAATCCTCATCATAATGACAAGGAGGCCTCTTCCTCCGACACATCCTGGCTGGGTGGCCATGACAGATCATCTAACCCCTCAGTGCCCCAGGCAACCTCCAAGACTAAATATAGAAGAGCAGATGCTGATTTGCATTAATAGTTCCCAATTCTGATGAAATAAAAGGTCCAAAATGATAAAGACAGACAGTGGATTGAAGGCCAGACTTAGAGTCAAGGAGACCAGCACTCAAGTCCTACTCAGACAAGTGCTAGCTGTGTGACCATGGGGAAGCTGCTTAACCTCTCTGGTCCTCAGGCAACTCTAGGACTGTACATTTCAGACTGAGTTGCCAATCTGCATTAATAAAGGGAATTAACTCATTAGAGTCATCTATACCAATGAAATCATAGGTCTGGAATTCTCTTCTCCTTCCCTCAAAAGACAAACCACATTTCTACGAACCTTTAAAGGCTTACAAAGTGTTTTCCTAACAACAACAAGTATAGTATAAGGGGGGAGGAAATAAGCATTTACATAGCATCTACTATGTGCCATGTAGGTTACAAATATCTAATTTGATCCTTACAACTACCCTGGGAAATAGGTGCTGTTACTATCCCCATTTTACATTTAAGGAAATGGAGGCAAGGAGAGGTTCAGTGATTTACCCAGGGTCTCAGGCAGATGGAGGTTAAATGACTTGTCTAGGGTCACATAGCTAGTAAGGCCAAATTTGAACTCAGGTCTTCCTGACTCCCAGCCTAGCGCTCTAACCACTGTGCCACCAGCTGCTTCTAAGTGTCATGGTATAAGTGTTGTTATCCCTATTTGAAACTGAAAACAGTAGCGTAACTAGCTCCCAGTCACATCCCTAGTAAGAGTGAAAGCCAAGATTCGAACTCCAGTGTCCCGACTCCGAGTTCGATGTTCACTCCATTCCAAGGCACTCTCATAGACTCTGCCATCATGGGCCTTACAGTCCAGTTGGGGAGATGATAATACTAACAAGACCTGACATTTATGGAAGTGTCTTTCTTTTTCCACTGGGCTACATGCATATATGAAAAATAAAATCGACTGGATTTTGAGGGAGTGAATGACAGAGAAAGACCAATTAAGTGAAACCAAGTGTGTGACCTCAGAGCCCCAGCAAGGAAGGAGATGCCTTCCCAATATGTAAAATAAACAGCTGAATTCCATGATTTCTAAGGTCTTTGGTAGGTAGAGCTCTAACGCTGAAGTCAGAGAATCTTGGTGAGCATCGCTTCTCTGCCAATCACATCTGTGTGACCTTAGGCAAGTCATGTCATACATGATGTAGAATCTCAGATTCAGAGCTGGAAAGGATGTCAGAGGTCATCTAGCCCAAACACCTCATTTTACAGGTGAGGAGACTGAAAGAATGAGTGACTCACCTAAGGTCACAAAGGAAATCATCAGAGGTGGACTGTGGGCCCAGGTCACTTGTACCCACTTCTCTACCTCTCTGGGCCTCAAGTTTCTCATCTATAAAATGAGGAAGTTTGACCAGAGGATCCTTAAGGTCCCCTCCAGTTGTCAGTCCTGGGATTCTAGGGTCAAAGGTAGTACAGGAGCTCAGAGAAGGAGCAAGTAGTTCCCTTCTGGCTGGGGGTGGGGAGAATTTCTATCCTCCCTCTCCATCACCTGTGTAGTCCCTTCTGAGGACGCCCAGCCCCAGAGGGACCCTCAAGGATTCCCCTTACTCACCCAGATTTGGAAAGAGGGTCCGGTCCAGGTGAGCCCCGATGCCTCCTGGGGGAACTGGGAGAAAAGGACAGGAGAGTGAGTCACCCTTGAAAGCTCATTGGGGAACAACCAATCAGAGGAGGAAAAAAGGAAGCTTTCTGATACCTGCGGGCAGCCAGGGGACCTAGGGGACCCAGGGGGATCCAAGACTGGGGCAACAGGGAAGTGAAAGGCAGCAACGCAACAGGTGGCTAGAAGTGGGCAGGAAGGCAGGCAGGGAAGGCCTGGCCTGGGGAGTTAGGGCTGCTCTCTTATTGTGAGAAATGGGGTGAGGAGTGGGGGTGGGAAGGAGATGAAGGTGGGGGTAAGAGGCTGAGGAAATTGAAGCACTGCGGAGACAGGACCATGACAAAATTGGGCACCTGGCCCTCCAGCCACGGAGGGCTAGGTGAGCACCGGGAAAAGAAGACACTGGAGGACTGGGGTCAGTGTCTGAAGCCCCGACTGGGCACTGGAAGGGGCAAGGGCTCAGTCTTACCTAGGAGGAGGAGGAGGAAGAAGGCAGGGAACATCCTGGCTCGTGTGAAGGGGGTCAGCTCTGCTACTCTTCGGGGTGGCCCTCAGGGTCTGTCTTGCCCCCCGGGGCAGCCCCCCTGCCTGGGCCCCATCGCCTCCACTGGGTGGCCCGTGGTCTGGATGCCAGGGCTGGGGGCGGGGAGGCGGTGCCCGCAGCAGCGGCAGCAGCAGCCGGGGCGGTGCCTCTGGCCAACTTCAGAGTTGTTTTCCCCGGGAGCTTCCTCCTGGGGCCGGCTCCGGAAGCTGGTAGTCTTGGGGTGGCTGGGGGGAAGGGGGTGCTCTCCCTGGGGAGGGCACCGCAGGGGCTCCTCTTCTGCCCAGGGGCTGAGCTGGGGTGGGCGAGGGAGGTGGGCAGGCGGGTGCCCCCTGCTCAGGCCAGCCGGCTCCCTCCCAGGGCTCGCTCAGGGCCACTTCCTCTTGTGGTCAAACTTTGTCTGTCAGTCGGATGGGGCCTTTCCTGCTCTCTCAACTTTGCTGGTCCTGGCTCCCACTTCCTGCTGAGGAAGAAGTGGGGAGGGAGGGAGGGAGCAGGGAGAGGTGACTGCCCCCAACTTTCCCAGCCCTCCTGCGCACCCTCGGTCCCCCCAGCTGTGGGTCCGGGAATGAGGGGGAGGAGAGGAGGGGGTAGTGACGTCAACTTGGCCCCATCTCCTGCCAATCACCTCGCTGGGCTCCTCCCCTCTGTCCTCATTAACCTCTTCCCTGCTTTGCCTGGACTTCCTTAACAGCAGGAGCAGAGGGAACCCCCCCCCCCCGCCAATCACCCCTGAGTCTGGCCCTTTAAATGCTTCTCCATTGGACCTTTAACCCTTCCTTTAACTTATTCCCTGTTACATATTTAACTCTCAAGTCCACCTCCAACGCCTTTGCCCTTAGAGTTCTAGGATGCAGGTACTAAAGCCAGTAAATAAACATTTATTAAGCGCCTGCAATGTGCCAGGAACGGTGCTAAGCGCTAGGCCTGCACGAGGCTCATATTTATAAAGCCAAAAGGGATCTTAGAAGTCATCCAATCCATCCTCTTCATCTTACAGATGTGGAACCTGAGGCCAAGTTAAGCGACAACATCCCTGCCAGGTGGCTCAGTAGATAGAGTTTTGAACCTTCACTCCGGAACACCTCGGTTTGAAACTAGCCGTGCGACACGGGGAAAGTCCCTTAACCCCTCTCCGACTCATTTTGACTGTCTGTAAAATGGGGATATTAAATAGTATTCGTCACAGGTGTTGTCGCGGAGTTCAAGTGAGGTAAGATAAAGAGTGCTTAGCAAACCTCAAAGCAGGATGTTAATACTTATTATTAAATAACAACAGAGCCAGGATCAGAGCCCAGGTCATCTGACACCCCACTTAGTGTTCTTTCCACGACACCGCGAACCATTGAAGTGGAGAGAGTTTAATGCTTTTAGCATCTTAATGCCTTTCAATGCATTTAGTGTCTTAAGTGCTTAAGAGTATCCTGTGCCAGGAAACCTGACCTGGAAAGCCTCAGGAAGATATTCCTAGCTCCCTGTTTGAGTCTTTCAGAAGTAATGGCTTCCCGACTTTTAATTTTTTATTTCCCACCTGCCTTTGTCAACCTTCCCCGCACCCCTACCCGGCCTCGTTGAATCTGCATTTGTGCAGTCATGCAATTCATTCATTAACCATTTATCAAGCACTATGCTAAGTGATAGGGACACAAAGATAGCTCCGACTGGATCTGATCTCAAAAAGTTTACAATCCAGTTCCAGGTGAAAGTCACATACACAAATAGGTGACATAGAAAATACATAATACAATAAAGAGTGTTGGTGTATGACTCTCCCTAGAAAGTAACTAATGAAGAATCTCGGACGTTAGAGCCTTAATAAATACGTTCAGGGGATGGGGGGTTGCTATGGAGTGACGGGTAGGCTTCCGACTCAACAGTTGTGCGCTGATCCCTTCCCTGCTCCCAAGCTCTCGATGAATGTTACACTCTGTACTTAAGCGGCAACACAATCCTACCCCTTTCCCCCAAGTAATGTGAGGTTGGAACTGAACACAGTTTATGAGGTAGGTCGTACGTGTACTGAGGCTGTAAGATTCAGATAATACCTTGAAAGTTGTATTGGCACTCACCTACGGTCAAGAAATCTGCAGGAAGGCCCCCAAGCGTGTCAGATGGAACCATTACGGAAGATTTACGGGCGGCTATAGACAGAGTTGCACAAAATGAAAAGCCACGAATGGCTTGCAGTCTGTATATGTTTGTAGGGAATACTCATGTCAATGAGATCACCAGTGGATTGAAATACGGATGTTTACATTTCCATGCAAACATTTTTCTTTTGTTTTTCGGAGTTCTCTAGAATTTCTTTAGCTCGTCGCCATTTTTTTTTCCTACTTTGGTGAGGCAATTGGGGTTAAATGACTTGCACAGGGTCACACAGCTAGTGAGTGTTATGTGTCTGAGGTCATATTTGAACTCAGGTCCTTCTGACTTCAGGGCTGGTGATCTATCCACTGCACTACCTAGCTGCCCCTCTTTAGCTCTTGATAAGGGCAGGAAATAGGTCTTCTAGCATCTACTATGTGCCAGGCACTGTGCTAAGTGCTTTTTACAAATATTAACATATCTGATCCTCATGACAGCCCTGCAAGGTGGGTGCTGTCATTATCCCCATTTTGTGGTTGAAGATATTGAGGTAACATGACTTGCCCAGGGTCACCCAGCTAGTGTCTGAGATTGGATTTGAACTCAGATCTTCCTGATTCCTGGCCCAGGGTTCTATCCTTTTGGCCATTTGTTCCTTAAAGAGTAAAAGGTAAGCTCTTTGAGGCTTGGGTCTGTTCCTTTGT